TTTTTTTTTTTTGGTATCTATGAAGTGGGATTACGGGTAAGCAAGGATGATGGTTAATTTTGAATTCAAGGGGATAAAATTAAAGTAGTTAATTAAAATTAGTTTGTTTAATCAATTGTGGCATCCATTTAAATTTTGATTTTAATCTGCATTATCATGATATTAATTAGGTTGTGATTTACTTTTTCTTTTATTTTTTATTTTCTAGGGCATATGAATGGTAATGTGCATGAGATAAATGGGACAGAGAGATCGAAATATATTCATGTGTCCAAGTTTTAATATATATTTGCTGTAATGTCAATCTTTTCAAGCTCCTGTCAAATCTCTTTGTTCTAACTGTTAATGGTTTTTTGTGAGTATATATATATATATATATATATATATTTTATGTATGAGCATGCACTATATTTTTGTTTTGTATATCGAGGTCCAATAATTAGTTGAACAACAGCTTTATTGACATTTTTATTTTATTTTTTGTATCGATAAATGTAAATTTATAGATCAAAACTAGAGTACAAACGATGGACAAACGACACACAAAAGCACAGTGGGCAGCCACAAGTTCGATTCCTTACTCGCGGATAGTAACTCTAAGAGGACAACCACATGTCGGTTGCTCACTCAGGTCCGGTGAAAGAGACAAAAGTGGCAGTCTTGTATCAGACTGGGTCTACCACTAAATTTTCTAGGGAAAGGACAAGGCTATATTCCAAGGGTTTTCCTCTCATATTCAGCAAGCACGTTCGGATACAACACAAAAATTATACGATACACATGAGTTTGGATCTTACGGATTACTAGGCTCGAAGGTTGGGATTTATTTTTAAAAATCAACATATTTCTCGCATTTCCAAATGAGGTATACGAACATTTTTATTTTATTAACTAATTTGTGTGTATGTGGCTATCAATCTCCTCAATCAAATATATATATATAAGTGTCCTCAATTAATCAATATAGTATAACTATATGTATTATAGAGTAATGTTCTCCTACCCACGGTAGAACATGTTAATATGCCCACCGCTTATATATGACATGCACTTATTGGTGATGTTAATATATTTGCCAGGGATTTTGGTCTTTTTTTTTTTTAATGGTACAAGGACTTTCTGGTTTCTGAATCCATAGGGGAACCGACTAATCCAATTACCGGATCTACAGGAGATTTTGGACTTTAATTTGGACACTTTGTTAGGACCTTAGTTTTTGCGTGTTATTTAATAATTAGCATAATTTAGCAGTAGACAAATCAACTTTGTGGGTGACATCAAATAGCTTATATTATATTATAGAGTGAATCTAATTCCGGATTCGTTACTTATTTTATTGTACTTTTGTCTCCACCTTGGCTTCTTGGTGTTTATTATTTAATTCCGTGCGTGGAAAACAATTCTTTCATACAATTTTTCATGAACGTTGATGGCAATATATAGAATACTTCAATAATATATTTATTTTTAGTATTAGTTATAAGAAGAGGTGTAAATGGGTCGATTCGATTCGAGCTAATTAATTTTATCAAGCCGAACTGTTCGAACATTAATGAATCAAACTATAGAAAATTACACAAAAAAATTTTTATTTCCATGTTTTAACGAGTTGAATTCGACTCGACTCGATTCGTACACTAAACAAGTAGTGTTTGCCACGTTCATAGAGAGGCCAACTTTGGTGCTGACCATTTGTCCGATTTAGCCGCTTCTTATCCGATCGGTTTTCAGGTGTTGGATACTCCTCCTCCTAGTCTGTCACGCATGATTTAATCGGGGTATCATACCCCCGACACGTCTTAGTCTAGCACTTAGGCCTTCGGCCTCCTTCATTGTACTAAAAAAAAAACAAGCTCGAACTCGACTATTTATCAATAAAAAATAACCGAGCTCAGATTTTAACGAGTCAAACTTACAAAAACTCATTGGATATAATTTTTAATATTTCTAGAAATATTAATTCGTTGCGTTATTTATATAATTTTATTAATTGGAAAACTATAAACGTAGGTTTGTATTATAATTAATTTCATTCAACACAAGTGTGTAGCATGAGTCTATTTATCGTGGACTATGAGATATATTCAAAAGTCAATACGAATGAATATCATTTAATTAACTCTTTATTTCAACTAAAAATTATAGTATTTGAAATCAATATTATTATTATTTATTATAACTAAAAAAAGGAGACAACTAGTTTGAAGTGACCAAACGAAGAACCACTTTTAAAACAAAGTACAATTGACATTCATGTTAAAAAAAGCTATAAATAGTACAATTTGGATATATCCCTTTAAATTAATAAACAAACTGATGTGCAAATCCCATGGATAAAGGTTCATTTTAACAATTTTGAACTTGAAAATGGTTGACAAGAAGCTTTGCTACATTGTGCTCGATCATCCCAATTTTATGACACTCGTGGGGTAGGCCGAGTCCATTTTGTTTGGGCTTAAATGTTATTTGTATGGGCCTTTGTAAAGTCCAAATTCATTTGATCTTATTACTTAATTTGGTTAGCACTATAAGCTAATTACAAGCTTCTTGTATTTAGATAATATGGTTTGGTATGATATATATATTTTTTTTTAAACTTTCGATTTTATCTCAAAAGCTTCATTCGGTAGCCTTTAAGAAAAGCCGGTTGATTCTTTTTCTCTTTCTTTTAACTGATCACTTATCTGTTAATTTCACCTACATTTTTTACTTTATCAACTAGCTTTTAGTTATTAGACATACAAGAATGCTCCCCTACCAACGGTGGGCACATGTTAAATATGTCCACTCTTTATGTGGCATGTACACATTAGTGATGTTAATATGTTAAAAAAATATATCACAGATGTGTGCATGCCACATAAGTGGTGGACATATTAACATGTGTCCACGTGGGTAGGAGAATATTACTTATTAGACATAAGCTATATATAACTTAACTATTAGCTAACTTATCAACTATCACCTAGTTTTTCAATTATTTTAACCAAACATATCCTACATAAAAGACCTATTTGAAATTTAGTTTCAGTTGTTCTACTTTTGCTTTTTCTTTTTTTTAGTACAAAGAAAGTGGTTGTTCACAAATTAAGAGACGCAAACATTTCGTGGGCGGGACATACCCCTCAAGTCATGCTCGATCCACGGAACTACACCAGAAGGCGGAGAAGGGAGCTGGTGACACCCAAGAGCTGTCGAAGTCGCCAAAGCTGCTAAATAGTCCGCATCAAAGTTAGCCTCACGGAAGATGTAAGAAATCAGCACCTGCCAGTCTCGACTGAGGATCTTTACGTGTTGACACTTGACAAAACTAATGGAAATAAGAATATATTCCCTTTTAAATTCTGGCGGCCAAATTGTTTTGTCTGCAACCTTTTATTCTTCCATGTTAACCAAGCAAGGAATCTAATCTACTTGGAGAAAAAAGCATTAATTCAATATTAAAATCCCTTAAAAGAATCATCAATTCAGAGATAGATAAACACAGACATCATATTAGAAGTGGTTTTCTGCAGGGATCAATCAATCTTCAATTAATAAGCTAAGGTGATTTTTGTAGCTTCTATCTCTCAAATAAATAGTCCCTCATTTGGTTAAATAAATCTTCAAAGTCTTTCTCCCAAAATGCAAAACCAAGCAACACAGCCTCCTCCAGGTCTCTCTCTCTCTCTCTCTCTCTCTCTCTCTCTCTCTCTCTCTCTCTCTCTCTCTCTCTCTCTCTCTCAATATATAAATGCTTTTGGGAAAAATTGCATTTTGTCATGTAATGGCAAATGTGGACAACTTCTTTTTTGTTTGGCAAAAGTGCCCCAAAATTTGTTAAAATCTGGAATTCGTGCCCAATTTTACATAAAGTTACCGGATTTAACCGGTTTTTCGTGTGGCAAAACAGGACAATAACTTGTTAAAATTCACACCCTTAGTTACAGGGCATAAAATGCAAATTTTGCCAATGCTTTTGTGTGTGTGTGTTTATGGATTAAGGTGATTTCTTTTGCTGTAAGTAATGAAATATGCATACTTGTGCTATAAAATGTCGTGCTTCGATTTATGGTGGAATTTAGAGTGACGCTTCAGTTTGAAAGTAGGCACGAAAAAAGTATATATGGTCATGTAAACTTAGGCAAATAAGTTCGAAAGATGAGAAGATGAAAGAAGAACTATAATATGTGGTTTGGTTTTGTAATAACATGCAGAAGGTTACCCAACAAACAATCCACCATTTGGGAAAAAGAAAAACAACTTGTGGCCAAGAGCAAAGGCAAAAGGAGACATGGGCTTCATAGAGGGATGGTAAACTAAATTCATTACTTCAGTTTTTTTTTTTTTATCAAATTCCTCCAAAAAATCAATCAGATTGTAATTAATAACAAATTAGGTTTAAAAAACTATAGGCTATGATCGGTTTTGCTATAAAGTCAACAATTGGCTTCATAGTGGAGTCAACCTTTTTATATACAGCAAATAAACCATATCATATGATGAAGAATATATATGTTTAAAATTATTATTATTATTATTATTATTATTATTATTATTATTATTATTATTATTATTAGTTGCTTGGATATTAAGCTAGGGTTGAGTTTGAAGCCTTTATTTAAAGGGCTCTTCTGTTTTGGTAATGGAGGTGAATTTGATGAATGAGAATATGAATTGATCGTGTTTCTTTCGGGAGAGTATCCCGAGTTCGAGAGAGTATCTCGTATTGTATCTTTTCCCATTCGTTCACGCTTTCGCTACATCAGTTGGTATCCAGAGACTGGGTACGTTCCACGATGCCGCCAATGAGAGGAAACAACAACAATCCTACCATCTACGACCGATTGCAACGGATGGATGATCGGATTCACAGTATAGATGATCGGGTTGATGAACTTTCTATGGGGATCGACGAATTACGCCAGACAATGAATTTCATGATGAACGAG